TTATCGCGACGATACAGAAGCGAATAACCGTTTCTACGGAATTCGAAGGCGGAGCCGATGGCGACGCCGAGCTGCGGCGTGAGCAAGCGCAGCGTAGCGAGCGGAGCAGCAAGTAAAACCAAAGAATTATTTAATCATTATTACATCTTTTGCTTCGGAAATGGTTTTGTTAACGGTTCAATTTAAACGTTCACTTTTCGTGATGATACTGTACAGTAGCGAGTAACTGTTTCTAAGGAAATCGAAAGCGGAGCCGAAGCGACTCTGAGCGGCGGCGAGAGTAAGCGCAGTGAAGCGAGCAAAGCAGCAAGTTGAACGGAACGACTTTTTTTTTCGCTTTTTTTCAGCCTTTGTTAAAAAAAAGATTAAACAGAATTTAAAAGATAACTCTATCGAAGTTCAAATTTGAATTCTTGTAAATAAATTGCGAATTTTTTGAGAAATGATCAAAGTTTCTTATTTTGAGCTACACCATTAGTTTTCGACTTCTAACATGAGCTCATTTATAGTTTCATATCAATTTAATTTGAAAAATAATAAGATAAACCTAATTGATAAACATTTCTGTTTCTTTACGGGGAAAAATAATAGAGATCCATGCCAAGGCTTTTTATTATTACAGAAAGCGGTATCTATGACAGGTGAATTTCGGTGTGTTGCTTTACAAGCGTCGTATTTAATAGTCACTTTTCACGGAAACAGAAAATTTGATAAAACTGTCTTTCCTGGATTATTGCCACGAAGCACTGAATGAAGTACTGAAACGATAAATCGTTTTCGCAGCAAATTAGTGGAAAATTATTGGACACTGAAATTTGAAATCTCCGCCGGTGTGTTTCAGAACCAGTGCGGTTCCATCGGCATTAGCGTTTCCTTTTGTAAATCGTTGTGCAATTGCATCCGCAGCAAAAAAAAGCTCTAAATTGCGGATGCATTTAAAAAATATCTCCAGTAAGTAATTCATCGTTTTTGTCTTCGCAAGCGGTTGCTTTCAGATTTCAGTCGTGAAAACGATTGATCTGAACTGACGATGGCCGGGATTGGGGTTCTTAAACGGGTTTGAACACTTCCCAACCAATATAAACGGACAAGGTGGGCAATGTGCGGTAAAGCATTAGCAGTCCCCGCGCCGTAGTTGCTGAAAGAATCGTTTTAAAATTAATATACCGTATCGGCTCGATTCCGTAAAACGTCATAAAAATGATGGTATCGCGTCGGCATCGCAGCGGTGGCAAAAACAAACTGATATCTGAGCAGATCTGTTGATAACTCAGCATATGCAAAAGATACAGAAAGCTAGGTAGACTCTCAACTGGTAGACTCTGGTTAGGTTGCTGTCTCACCGTGCCAAGTCTTCTACAGCAAAAAAACTTACATGCTCGCTCGCTTGCACTAAGGGCGGTTACGACCTTCTATACTAGTAATGGTTAGGTTATTTAGACTGACCTTAGCAGGAACCTTTGCGAACACTGCGAATGCTGCGAATATTGGAAAACCAGAACCGGCTTACTAATAGTTAGGCTTGTGCAGCATAACATTAGCAGCAACCTTGGCGAACACTGCGAAGGCTGCGAATATGGGAAAACCAGAACCGGCATACTAATGGTTAGTCTTAGTTAGACTGACCTTAGCAGCAACCTTGGCGAACACTGCGAAGGCTGCGAATATGTGAAAACCAGAACCGGCACACTAATGGTTAGGCTTATTTAGACTGATCTGAGCAGAAACCTTGGCGAACGCGGCGAACGTTGCGAATATGGGGAAATCAGAACCGGCATGTCTTTAGTTAGGCTCACTTTGGTTGACCTTTAAAGCACCTTTGGCGAAAGCTGCGAGTGCTGCTAATATGAGAAAACCAGAACCGGCATACTGATAGCTAGCTTATTTAGGCTGACCTTTGCAGCAACGTGAGCGAACGCTGCGAATATGGGAATTCAGAGCCGGCACATCTATGTTTACGCTGAAACAGCATGTCGGAATACTTATGGTTTCAACAGCACACGTTCAACTTGTCAAGTTGAACTAAATGGATATATACGAGAAAATCAAATTTACGGTTTGCGCCTAACTCCATGCTGCGGCACGCCACTCTGCATTATATAAAACACTTGACAGATGTTTTGCGTTGTGGGCCTGCAGTGGACACCGAATTTTGTAGCAACATCAGCAGGAGGAGCCTGACCGATGGTGGCCAAACTAAAGTCGATGCAGCAAGGGCCGATCCTATTGAGGAAAGCAGCTTGTTGTTGCGATAAATGGAGCGTAGTAAGCAATTATGCTATGAGCGCATTTTGCTCCGCCTGCAAGTACGAGTACTTTTATAATTATGTATGCTCATTTTTGTCGACAGGCCTACACTCGCTTTCGCAGTTGGAAGCGCTGTGGTACGTGCGCCTGTGGCAACATTCGCAGTTCAAGTTTAAAGCCATCAGGTACTGGTGAGCCACGAATCAAATTTTTTGGACGAGGTTGTTTCAAAAAAGGGGAGCTGACAAAGACCAACACATTTTTCATGCAACCCGAGAGCCCTGCGGAATAATAACACTATTGACACTGTCAATGTCCATTTGCAATGACAGCGTTGATAGCCCCACTAGGTATAAGCCAAAAGACGCATTGCCGACAGGTGAAATAAATTATTTAGATAAGCCGCAAGGGTACTTACATACTGACTACTGAAGCTTGTGTACGTTGTACGCAAATTGCGTACGCTACATCAATGGGGTTACTGATCTCATTCTTTACGTTATTTTTAATAAACCAGTAAGTACTCGTAGATTCCGAATTTCCGATGCAGCAAGACTATATCTATAGCTGTTTGCTTTGAAATGGCATAGAATGAAATTTCAAAACATTAAGGGGTCAGATTAACGGTACTTACTTAAATTTTCACGCGAAGCCGCCGCACGTTTCAAAAACTGCAAGATATTCTATAAAACATTGTAGAGCAGCAAGGCATAACGAATGCTGGAAAACTTTTGGAGCATGGTTAAATAAGTAAATAAGTAAAGTAAATGAATTCAGTAAGAATTAAGGTATGTGTGTGTTGTGGAAAATATGGAAAACAGTGTGAACATTATGCCGATACTTCGCACAAGAGTTTTGGATTCATTTATTAAATTACGTATACAATACAGTTAGAAAGAGCTACAGTGAGCACTTCGCGCGAAACAAACAAGCGGTTTGGCTTTACCATGGTACTAGCGGTAATACTGGTTTAAGTGGTCCACTATGATAAGCGAATGGGAGGTGGTCGTGGAATCAAGTGGAGTGTGGACCACCTAAAATATAACATTCCTCAGACCGATTTTTTTTCAATTGACAGCGTCTGGCAGTCTCCATTCGAATTTCGCCAAGTCTTATGATTATTACATTACAAGTTTTAAAAATGAATGAACTGTTTGTCAGGTCCTGATGGATTCCCCCTGGAGAGCGACGCCGCAGTATCGGCCACTTCTGGCGGAAACCAACCAAATCAGCTACCAGAACACAGTCGTCGTGCGCAACGCAGACGGCGCGTGGTGGCTGGGATACATTCAGGACATGGGCGATGACCACGCACTCATTCATTTTGACTCGACAAAGGTCACGGCGCGGTGGGTACATATGGGAAGTATCTGGCCGCTCCCGGTTTACTGGGATGAACCCAGTGACAAAGGTTGCCACAACGTTCCAGCGTACGTGGCATTTCGTGATGAAGACGACGGCCCGTTGCGTTTCCGACCCGCCGTCCTGTTGGGTTCTCTTATGGGTTGCTACAGCTGTTACATGTTTTATATCAAATCCTGTGCGCTTAACACCAATTCCCAGGCACCCGCAGTCGAACGTACTGAACTGGTGGAGATCGGTCAAGTGGCCGCTGAACTACCTCCCAACGGCCCGCCGTTGCTGGAACGCCGCAGCGGTTCGATCTACACCAAACATTTTATTCCTTATACACAAGCTTAGAGTGTTCTGAGCGATGCTTCCGACAAATTTCGCATCATCAAGCACATTCGAGATGCTTTTAGACGCAAACTGGAGCTGGTACAGCTGACGGAATGCTGTCGCTTTCATCTGCGCATCGAGCGGGATGGCTGCATGTTTATTACCATAAATATCGCCAACGAGGACACGGTGCAGTGGACAGCGACTGCGTTATCGGAAGTGTTGAACACACATCTGGCCAACCGGATCAATTTACCGGCCATCGGGGTAGGGCGGTTTCTTGCAAGCAGCACCATCTCTTGGGAATCCGGTTAGTTAACAGCAAGTGGCAAAATCGCTTGTGCGTAGTGCGCGAAACGTCTACATCCGAACCCGTACAATTTATAACAACCAAAATGATTACACTACACACCTTAAACCGATGTTTTTAACCATAAATTTTTGAAATGCAATATGAACATCCCTTACGGTACAGTACGCAATATTCGTGAAGATCTTGCGTTAAGACTTCCAAACGCTCCACAAGCTTTGCATGGTATATTAAAATAGTTGCGAAACCGTGGTACCGAAAAAGTTATCTGAATTTTGCCTTTCGCTTATAAACCAACGGTCATTTGAACTTACTCTAAAACAGTTCCAAAATTTCGTAATTTGGCAACCAGCAGCCGCTTTAATCGATGCAATTGCGGTTGCTATTTCGCACAGCTGAACGGTATTGCATTGGTTAACACCTTCTTTGTCTCTTTGCGCGGCTTTTGCATTCTCTTCCGTGCGTTTTATGTAGCATGGTTCGTGCAACAACATAAGTTTGCTCATAAATCATAATACTACTTCTACATATATATAGCGCTTCGCATGCTTTAATAGGCGTACGTCCTAAAGGCAATACAATATACGTCATTTGTCCTCCGGGAAACTGTCTTACTGTACATCGCGCTACTCCGGTATGCAAACATTGTAAAGGATTTAGCTTTTTTGTAGCGTACATACATATCACAATCACAATGCATCAAACTTATAACAAGCAATTTATCTGTCACTGTTGCGCAGAATGGGATAGCAATGACCTGCAACCGATCGCTCGGATCAGCCAGCTTACGCCTGTGCTCATGGGCGAAGTCTTGACCCATCTGGACCTGCACTCACAAATGACGGCCAAAAGGTAAACCTCTTTCTTTTCAAGTTTACCGAAATGGAGAAAAGCTGCGGAAGTTCGGAAGAAAACTGGATTTATAGAGCGGTAGTTGTTGTAAATTTCACAGTTGCCCAACAAAGTCGCTATTCCACAGGGTATGCGCTTTATGGCAGTTGCTGTTGAACAGTTCGAGCCTGGCCGAACGTATTAGCATCAATTTGGAAAGTTGTTGGCAGCTGCATGCGGATAGCAACAACTGTTACAAGCTAGCATCTTTGCTCATCCGCTCAGTTTATCCCAACACGAAAAGCCTCATTTTTCTCAACGCCTTTCCCACGCACAAAACCTCATTTTTAATGGACTTCCTAGACCGCATGGAGATAAAGTTTCAGTGGGTAGCTTTTAAAGACCAGGTCCTCTCAAAACCTTGGAGGCTTGATGGACGAAAAGAACATCTGATGCACAAGGCAGTTATGATACCAACGTTGTACAAGCACAAATGCGAATCCCTTGCGCTCTACAACTGGAAAGTGTCCGGTCAGTTTGGTTTCACGGCGTTTGAAGTGTTTCATAGCTTGAAGTTTGATGGTGTCGTCCGTCGCCTGCCAGAACATGAGCAAAATCTGATGAAACACCTAACAAGGGAGTCGCACGTACTGGACATTGACAAGCTGGAGATCAGGATTCCGCGCCTCCTTCTACGAAGTAGCGACAGCAAATTGCGGATAACCAGCCGCTTTATGTGTACCTTCAACGATAACTTCCCACCGGTAACTGCGGACATGCTAGCTAAGGTCACGGCTGTGTATGCACGCTGGATGCGCAGTCTGGTATATCCGGATGACTGGCAGACCATTCGCGCATATCTTTTAGTGTAAAAAGACACGTGCCAGTGAATACACATCGCAGCAGTCGACATTACGCTTCTTGAAACGTTCCTATTCTTTATAGGTTCAGCGGCTTCAATGTAGACGGGAGCCCGAAAATTTGGGAGGACGTAGACCTACGGCTGGTTGATGTGTCAACATTGAGCAAACTGGCCATATATGGAATCAACGAAATATTCGGTACCTGAGATTTGAGCCACAGAAAAACCTTGGTATCGCGCTTCGTTCGGGAGTCAAACCCTTCACGTTTCCAAAGTTATTGAAACTTATTATCAGGAGCTTCTGTCTTCTGCAAAGACTGCAAGTAATATGTTACCGCGATGCTATCACTGCCGAATACACTGAATCGTAGATGCCTATTGTCTATGACGGCGTATGTGATGTTCGTTATTGTCTTAGCAAATTTCGATGCTTTGTCCAACCTTTGCATCCTGATAAAATAATAATATTTTGATTAGTGTGCCCGGAGTTTAAGGTGCCCGGAATGGCATGCTAATAAAGAAAAAAATGTTGCAAAACGGAATGTTAAAAAATAAAAGCGCAGCAGGTGAAGGCTGTCTCTGTCTCTCATACAGCATTCGGAAATTATGATTCTGATGGCAGGCGTAGTCGTAGTGGTGGGAGCTAACGGTGTTACGGTGGTGACGGCAATGTGCGCTCCCAGCGCAGCCAACACGGCGACAACGCTCAGTTTCTTGTACTGTAATTGTAGATCAGATGCAGAATACGGCCACAGCGAATATTAAAGACACAATTTGTACTGACACTGGTGCTCAGTAAGCAAAAAACAACATGTCGTCTAAATTAAGATACCTACCTAAACTACAGATGTTATGAGCTAAACACGGTTTTTTCTTCCGATATCCTGCAGATCGTCAGCTTAGGTATGAACGGGATGGATGGCTGACGCAATGGTAATTTTTTAACAGAACCTTATCCGTAAAATTGGTTAAAACACATCATCATACTATCAAATGCCGGCTGAGAGGTACTTACAGAGGTACTGTACAATATGTTAGCCAGTTTTGTGTGCCGTGTTTGTTTGTGTTTCTAGATCTTTCGCATAATCAACATTATCACAAACCAACTGTTTGCCGACGATTACATAACCTGCACCGATATCAAACGGGTTTTGCTAGCTTCAGCTGACAGTGTAGTACAAATTTTCTCGGTATTTGATTACCGCAGCTGTTTCATGCGCCGTACTTATTTGGCTTACATTTATCGTCATGCCAGCTCACAAAGTCAATCTTATCGATCCAGGGACTCGCGCAGCGTATGCCGTTGCTTCTTAAACCGGTCGACAGACTAAAGAATGTTTCATTCAGTGGAATAGCTTTATTCTCCAACTGAAAGCCAGTCACCACGTTGTACTAATCGCCTGAGAGTTCTTTGCGCATGCTCTGCATTTTCCTTCCACAAAAATGGATCGTTGGCGAGGTCGCACAGCGCTGGTGACGGGAGCATCCTCCGGTATCGGACTGGCCGCGGCGGAAACACTGGCACGCCAGGGAATGAATGTCATCGGATGTGCCCGGAATCTGGAAAAAATCGAGGTAAACTATAAAACGTTTAACTACGCATACGGAATGTCGTTTTTATAGCGTCCGCGTTGAAATATCAAGTATCTGATTTTGGGAAGGAAGGGGTACATGCTTATAGTTAAATTATTAGCCAAATGCCGTAGAAGTATACTTTAGGCGTTAAACAACACCCTCCCCAAAGGCTCCGGTACCGTGCGCGCCATCAAGTGCGATATCACCAAAGAGGAGGACATCAAGCGCATGTTCGCGGAGATCGAGAAAACCCACAAACACGTGGACGTTCTTGTGAATAATGCCGGCATGGCCAAAACCGATACGCTAGTGACCGGCAGCGCGGACCAGTGGCGCGAGATGATTGATGTAAGAGAGTTTGTTACAGAAATTACAATTACAGAAAATATATGCGAGGCTACGAGCAGTTTCCATTTAGTAAAAATTTTCAAAAGTTTCCTTTCAGGTAAACGTTATGGGATTGTCTATCTGCGCGCGTGAAGCGCTACGATTGATGACCAAGGACCAGATCACCGACGGTCATATTATAAACATCAACAGGTAATTAAAAACATGTAAAAACTTTGGCTGTCAATCAGTACTATTGACCAAACAAAGACAGCGTTTCTTATAAGCAACCGGCAAACGTGAAACTGCCACATCGTGTGCAAATATATATAGCATTGTATGTTTCAGCATGGCGGGACATGCTGTGCCTCCGTGGGCTACCGCCCACTTTTACTCGGCTACCAAACACATGGTCATCGCGCTCACGGAAGCTCTGTACCGTGAAGTGAAGGAAATTTCCAAAAAGATCCGCGTAACGGTCGGTCCAGAGTTCCCACTATAATAATTATCGTTCAGTCGATGCTCATAGCGTCTTGCATTTATTTAACAGAGCATTAGCCCGGGTGGTGTGCAGACCGACTTCGGCAACCGATGGGTTGGTGAGGAGAATGTCAAGAAGCTGGCGCTCTCCGGCTCCGGTATGAAGCTCCTGGAGGCGCAGGACATTGCCGATGCCATTGCTTATGTCGTCAACGCGCCGCCGCATGTGTGCATCAAGGAGCTTATTATTGCTCCCACGGAGCAGCCGGCGATGTAGACCTTGCTTTATGGTATCGACACTTGTTGTATGACGCATAGTTGTATTTTCTGTATTGCTAGATTGGTATTAATTTTCCGGATTTTGTGTACAAGGAAAACTTCAACCCGAACAATATTATACAGCATGCAGTCCATTATCCATCCACAATGTTAATACTGTAAAACGTTTTTACGACTTTTTGTATAATTAAGGGATTTGGCCCGGTACATAGCACTGAATTCGTGTACATTGGCGGGAACTTTCGCTGTCGCGCACTCCCAAACACTTTTTTGCATTGCTTTATGAGATTTTGTAGCCAAAAGAATTGTACACGTAGTTGTGAAATCCGTTTGCGCGCGCAACATCCGGTTGCGGAGTTATGAGGGTAACAAAATTCCAAAAAGTTTAAATGCATTCAGGTGTACCAAAAGTCTCATTATGGACCAATCCCTTTCAAATTTTGCACGTAAATGCACATAACCATGAAGATTGTTTTGGTACGGATCCAGACTTCTACAATTTTTTTCGAATTTTAAAATGAATTTCAAAAATTTTAAAATTCATTTTAAAATTCAAAAAAAAATCCTAGAAGTCTGGTTCCGTACCAAAACAATCTTCATGGTTGTGTGCATTTACGTGCAAAATTTTAAAGGGATCGGTCCATAATGAGACTTTTGGTACACCTGAATGCATTTAAACTTTTTGGAATTTTGTTACCCTCATAACTCCGCAACCGGATGTTGCGCGCCCAAACGGATTTCACATCTACGTATACAATTCTTTTGGCTACAAAATACCATAAAGCAGTGCAAAAAAGTATTAGGGAGTGCGCGACAGCGAAGGTTCCCGTGGATGTACACGAATTTGGTGCTATGTACCGGGCCAAATCCCTTAACGTACCAGCATGTAATAGTTAACAGGAATTGTATGATCCAAATGACTTTAAATAATCCTTTAATCCCTTTTAAAACGATGAAAATGACTTTTTGTATTTGCACGCATATTTTAAAAACACATAGCGATCTTTAATCCATAAAAACGCTTCAAAAACGAAAACCAGATTACGTAAATTTCTAAAGACAAGTCCGAAACGTTTATGCGCTCATGCGTAATAAAACTGAGAAAAAGTCGTATGTCCATTTATCCACCCAAAAAACCACCTACAGTTCCACCTGGATCCTTCCATTTCCAATTTCGCCAATGTTTTCAGCATCCTCTGAATCGGAAGACAAGACTTACTGTAGCCCCGTTGGTAATCCCACAGTCCAATAAGGTAGTATTGTCACTCAGCTGTGCGCCGCGGAACACCACCGAACACTGATCCGTGGGGATGCCTTCAATATCCTGAATCCGGCATTTCAACTGGTATATCCCGTAATTCAGATTAACCGGGACTGTCAAAATTTGTCCATTCAAGGATTTACGAACACGCTGATATCCGGCACGAACCGCGCCGGCTGGAGAAAACTCATCCATAATGTCCGCTTTGGCGCAATTAACTGGTGCACTTCATCCAGCGTCCAGGACGCGGTCGGCGAATGCAGGATGCGCAGCGCACTGATGAGCCCACACATAATCATCCGACTGCCCACCTCCCGGGGATCGGCGTGGTCGCGGATGACACGGACAGCATCCAGGACGGGGATCTGTTCCAGATTAACGGCCGGATGGCATAAGCGCTCCACAAACGCCACCTGCATCCACAGTTTCAGCTGCGGAATCTCCCAACTCAACGCCATCTTCATGACCTCGTACAGGAAACACAGAGCCGTTTGGGTTGGGTCAACTGGCAGAGATTCGTGTTTGTGCATAGCCGCGCCCACAGCTGCCATAAAGGCCGCCTTACTAATGCTGAGTGTGTAGATATCGACCTGTCCATGCTCTCCCACTTCGAAGATTGCACGCACTTTTGGGGACAGACCAATCAGAATCTGCCGATTGATGTCCATTTCATCCTGTCGCATCTTCATCAGCACATTATCCGATCCTGACAAGGAAACTCCGTCCGCGAGAGGAGGGCAATCCGGAATGGTATGCCGGAATTCTTTCAGCACCTGCCCCAAAAAGCGCCGCAGCGGAACATGCATGGTGATGAAGCAATAGGCCTCCCGGAAAATACCCAGCTCTTGGCAGCACTCCGAGTAGGTCTGGCCTAGTACTAGTATAGAAGGTCGTAACCGCCCTTAGTGCAAGCGAGCGAGCATGTAAGTTTTTTTGTTGTAAAAGACTTGGCACGGTGAGACAGCAACCTAACCAAGTAGTTGAGAGTCTACCTAGCTTTCTGTATCTTTTGCAAATGCTAAGTTATCAACAGATGTGCTCAGATATCAGTTTGTTTTTGCCACCGCTGCGATGCCGACGCGATACCATCATTTTTATGACGTTTTACGGAATCGAGCCGATACGGTATATTAATTTTAAAACGATTCCTTCAGCAACTACGGCGCGGGCACTGCTAATGCTTTACCGCACATTGCCCACCATTCCGCTTGTTCTCCGCCGCACTAAATCCTTTACATTGGGATACTTATCTCATTTCTTCAGTTTCTCATTCCCAGTACCGATATTTTATTCCCAAAACCGATAAGACTTATACAGTTAACCGGACACGCTCAGCGTGTCCGTTTATATTGGTTGGTAAGTGCTCAAGCCCGTTTAAGAACCCCAATCCCGGCCATCGTCAGTTCAGATCAGTCGTTTTCACGACTGAAATCTAAAAGCAACCGCTTGCGAAGATAAAAACGATAAATTACTTACTGGAGATATTTTTTAAATGCATCCGCAATTTAGAGCTTTTTTTTGCTGCGGATGCAATTGCACAACGATTTACAAAAGGAAACGCTAATGCCGATGGAACCGCACTGGTTCTGAAACACACCGGCGGAGATTTCAAATTTCAGTGTCCAATAATTTTCCACTAATATGCTGCGAAAACGATTTATCGTTTCAGTACTTCATTCAGTGCTTGGTGGCAATAATCCAGAAAAGAAAGTTTTATCAAATTTTCTGTTTCCGTGAAAAGTGACTATTAAATGCGACGCTTGTAAAGCAACACGCCGAAATTCACCTGTCATGTATACCGCTTTGTGTAATAATAAAAACCCTTGGCATGGATCTCTATTATTTTTCCCCGTAAAGAAACAGAAATGTTTATCAATTAGGTTTATCTTATTATTTTTCAAATTAAATGGATATGAAACTATAAATGAGCTCATATTAAAAGTCGAAAACTAATGGTGTAGCTCAAAATAAGAAACTTTGATCATTTCTCAAAAAATTCGCAATTTATTTACAAGAACTCAAATTTGAACTTCGATAGAGTTATCTTTTAAATTCTGTTTAATCTTTTTTTTAACAAAGGCTGAAAGAAAGCGAAAAAAAAGTCGTTCCGTTCTACTTGCTGCTTTGCTCGCTTCACTGCGCTTACTCTCGCCGCCGCTCAGAGTCGCTTCGGCTCCGCTTTCGATTTCCTTAGAAACAGTTACTCGCTACTGTACAGTATCATCACGAAAAGTGAACGTTTAAAATGAACCGTTAACAAAACCATTTCCGAAGCAAAGGATATAATATTGATTAAATAATTATTTGGTTTTACTTGCTGCTCCGCTCGCTGCGCTGCGCTTGCTCACGCCACAGCTCGGCGTCGCCTTCGGCTCCGCCTTCGGTTTCCGTAGAAACGGCTGTTCGCTTCTGTGTCATCGCGATAATGGAAAGTTTGAACTACACCGTTAAAAATGTTTTTTTGGAAAAAAGAAAAATCGAACCCTTTGGTTTTACTTGCTGCTCCGCTCGCTACGCTGCGCTTGCTTGGGCCGCAGCTCGGCGTTGCCTTTGGCAATGCTTTCAGTTTCAACAGCAAGGGTGACGGCAATCCGTTAACAATAGTTACGGTAACCCTTACCGTGACAGAAACTGAGACGGTTACGGTAACATGTTATAGTTATGGTAGCGTAATATTTATTATTGGTAACGCTTAATTAGAGTGGTAAAAGCTGGTAACGCGTTACCATGAGTAATTGCAAAATGAATGCGACTCAGTTGATCCTTAAAGTAAGTGCAAATGTAGGTGAAATTTCTAACGATTGTACCGGTTCCTGACTTCGATTAGCATGGTTTGCTACGTCATTGTTTCAAAGTAATGTTACCCGTTATGACCTTATGGTGACGTTTAACTTGAATGACCTAACTCAACTGGTCTACAAAGTTATATACTGGTTGAAGACCTTCGAGTATTTCCAACATTTGCTCAAACAAAGCCTTATATGTGTAAATCATGTTACAAAATTCCGCTGTTTGTATGGCGGGTTCGTGAAAAATGCCCCGGTGGTTCCCGGCATGTCGGTTCCTCAAAAACGATCCACCCAGGGCGGGCAAAATTCCCGGACCGGGGTTTAAAAAACGGACCCTCCATACTATTTGTATGGCGAATTCGTGAAAACTGCCCCGGAAGTTTTTCGCATGTCGGTTCCTCAAAAACGCACCAACGGGGCGGGCAGAATTCCCTGACTGGGACCTAAAAAGCGGACCCTCCATACTAATTGTATGGCGGGTTCGTGAAAACTGCCCGGTGGTTTCCCGCATGTCGGTTCCTCAAAAAAGATCCACCCAGGGCGGGTAAAATTCCCGGACCGGGATCTAGAAAACGGACCATCCATACTATTTGTATGGCGGGTTCGTGAAAAATGCCCCGGTGGTTTCCCCGCACGTCGGTTCCTCCAAAACGATCCACCCAGGGCGGGCAAAATTCCCGGACCGGGATCTAAAAAACGGACCCTCCATACTATATGTATGGCGCGTTCGTGAAAAATGCCCCGGTGGTTTTCCGAATGTCGGTTCCCCAAGAACGCACCAACCGGGGCGGGCAAAATTTCCGGACCGGGATCTAAAAAACGGAACTGGGCGGGCAAAATTCCCGGACCGGGATCTAAAAAACGGACCCTCCATACTGTATGTATGGCGGGTTCGTGAAAAATGCCCAGGTGGTTCCCCGCATGTCGGTTCCCCAAAAACGCACCAACCGGGGCGCACAAAATTCCCGGACCGGGATCTAAAAAACGGACCCTCCATACTATATGTATGGCGGGTTCGTGAAAAATGCCCAGGTGGTTCCCCGCATGTCGGTTCCCCAAAAACGCACCAACCGGGGCGG